GCAGATGTCTACTAATTTTGTTTGATTGTATTTAGAGATGGGACTATAATAGCAGCTACCAACGTCAGCAAAGCTGCATTATGATGACACATATAATTCTTCTTATTGAGAGATTTTAATCACAAATATTTCACAGTAACTAAAAGTAAAAAAAAAAACCCTAAATAAATTATCAACTTCCCCATTCAAAAATACACAGAGCCATAATAAAAACTGCAGTAGCAAAGAAAATGTGACATTAAAATTTCTTTGATATGTGGATCATAGAAGCAATTCATTATAGTAGCTTCTTGAAAGTTGCCTCAGTAATTGTGTAGAACTGCTGCAATGTTTACACATTGTATGACTTAACGCCAAAAACCAACCCTTTTTTAAATGGAAATGACATTCTCTGAAAGAGTCTGATTTAAAATCATAGCCAAGTTGATATTCAATGTGATGTTTAAAAATAGCAAAGTACAGGAACACAGTATACAAGAGAGGAGAATAAGGATGTCAACCCTACTGACTGAAGCTGGCTTCTGAAATTCCAACAAGCAAATTACACTAATTAATATTTTGCTTTTGAAACCTAATGTGCAAAGGTGGCTAAAATCTACTGCCACAGCAGCAACCCAGGCATTTGGCTCCTACACTTAAGAGATGCTGACTTCCTTTAATGTTTTTTAGTGGACAAAAAAGCAGCTGGTAAATACACTAGTATTTCAGAATAAATATATATACAATAACATTGAAAAATGGAAAATATAACACAGACTTCCAGTTCAAAATTTCCAAGTAATAGACAAATATCAGGCAATATTTATTGAAGCCATTAAATGGCTCAAATGGTTAAATTCCTAGCTGAGAAAAAGATGATTACATGACTTCTGGGGCACTGGGAAAACACATAATTTGAAAATGTGTCTAGAAAGGTATGTGTTTACCAATTAAAGAAAAAGCTTAGAAGCTGCAGCAGATAAATTAAATAGTAGAGACTAATCAATCACAGTGTTAAAATGATAGATGACAACTAAACTGAAGCCCCAGGGAGCTATAACTACAGAGCCTTTTTGAAAAATTAGGCTGCAGAACTAGCATACCTCAAAGCAGTACAGAATCTAAATCCATGTCAGAGATGTCACATTAAAAAAAACACAAAGCGGTGTCTATAATACAGGAATGATAAAAAGAAAAGAAAAATAAAATTTTGTGGCACAGGATTTCGTAAGCATATAAGCCATAGAGAGTAGACTTTTCTGAATAGTCTTGAAATGATAACCAAAAGAGAAGCAGTATAAACAATCTTTAAATTATGCAAATGCTACTATATAATTTACCAGAAGTTCATACTTCCAGTATGTGAGAAGGAAAAAAAGAGAGTGAAACTAATTTAGGGGAAGACCTCATTAAAGAATTAAGGTAGTGGAAACACTCCAATGAACAATTTTATCTAAGCCTGCAGTATATGCACATGAATTTTAATTTGCAATGACAAAACCTGTGACAAAATGGCAAAGAACAAGGAATGAGGGCACTTCCATGCTGCTTCTAGATTACTATATTGCATGAAAGACTGAAATAATAATGTAAGGGAAGGGTATTGTGATTACTACAGAATACTCAGGAACCACAGGTTCATTTCTTTTGGAATACTCATAAATTCACCTTTTACAAAACGGACCCTTCCAAAGCCAAAAAACCCTTCATTTAGCTACTTCATCTCTGGTACATTACATACCTTTATATATAATATTGTAAATGGTAAAATATAAAACACAGTAGCTTTTGAAATAGGTATTAGGGCAAACAAGGGTCATGTTGCACACTCATGAGCTAATGGTAAGTCTAACATTAATTTAGTTCTTCTATACATAATGGAGTCAAACTGCCCATACAATAATTTTCAGCAGGCCAAGCCTCCTCTCATCTGCTCACAGCAGAGTCTGTACTCTGGCCATCCATCTCCTGTACTAGTACTGTGCTCGTGCAATCTCCTAATTTATGTCACATTACCTGAACTTGCCTTTATCAAACAAGAGTAAAAAAAAAAAATTGTTATCAACCAGCCATCAATTATTTGCCACTTCTTTGATAAACCAAGTTGTGGCAGATGAAATCTGATTGCTGCTGACCATGTGAGGACAATGGACACCTTTTTTTGAACGCATGTTGCAAGAATTTTTCCCTGTTCCTCGAAGGGTTTCTGCAACCTTTTGCAATATCAAACAAATGACAAAGGCCCTTACACTTAAAATGAAGTTGGGAACTTGTAAAACCCACAAAATATACTATACATTATGACTTTTATTTCATCCTTTAAAAAATAAGAACAATATTGATTTTAATTATATTTTCTCTATATGCGGGGAATCCAATCTTTTTTTGCCTCTAAGCACCAGATATTTTAAATTTTAGACTTTAATTCAAGTTGAAGGAAAAAAGGTATTCTGAAACACCTCCACAATTACAATTTGTCAAACCCACTGTCAGAAGAATGACTGGTTACTTCACATATGAAGTTCTCAGGGGTGTTGTTAGAAGGCCCAAAGGTACCAGACATGAAGTTCCCTCTACGGGAGAATGTACAGCCTGATCAAGTTGGTAACATTGCTTCTCACTGATGATGGATGAGAGGTAAGAGTAATTTTATTTCTGTTTTATTATTCTAATTTCCCATGTATATTCCAAAGAGAGTGTTAAATAAATTTCACATCACAAAAGTTAAATAACCACTGCAGAGTTTCATTTTTGTAATTATATATTCATTATATGTAAGATAATTTGTAGTTTATAATCATAATACTACAATTGATAAAATTAACCATGGATAATATGAAAAGGTCCTGTCAACCTATTCCACCAGCAGAAGAGAGAGGATTTGTATGTGAAGGAGTACCAATAATAGTTGACTAATTTTTTCTCACTATACACAAATAAATCCGCATTATTTTGAAAGAGCTGCCTGTGAGTTCTGGCCACTTGACACAGAAACACAACTGGGGAGAAGATCTTCCAGAGTCTGCAGTAGTGAAATTTATTTTCTACAAGTAGGTCTGTAACAATTTGTATAGTTTTTGTATATATAGATCAGTTGAATTACACAAATTGCTTGGAATTGCTAGCACTTTTTCATGCAACCACCAGTCACCTGCTGCCAAAACTTCAGATCCAGAGGCATAAAGCATAATTGATTAGGTGAAAGGTAACCCAAGCATTAAATAACAACTTCCAAAGTTCCACAGTATCTTTCCACATGTCAAATGAAATTGCAAGACCTGACCCATATTACACTACAATGTAGCCTTTTGTGAATTCCTTAGACATAGGCATATGGTGCATTATGACCCGAAAACAGCAATAACACTCTTGGTCTGCAGAGAACCTATTTGATACTAGAAATAGCAAGCTCAAAATTTGTCCAAGATCAGAAACATTCTGCAATGCAGCTCTGCCAAGAGTAAGAGGAGATGGCCCTATGTGGGAGACGCGAGCAGAAAATGTGAAGCTCGAGCAGACTGACTATGTGGCAAGAAATGGAAAGATAAAGGGTAAAAAGAGGTGTGATAGCATGTAGGGACTATAAACCTCAGGAACCACAGGGGAAAGAAGAGAAAATGAAAGGAAAGTATGACTGGAAGAAGAAGAAATGAAAAAAAATCAAAGGAACAGATAAATAGGAGTTTTGAGAAGTTTTCTAGAATTCTCTGGTACATATGTATCATTTGCTATATGTCTAGAAGCTGCCCACTAGTAACATAGTTTAGTACAATGTACAAATAACCATACAGGTTCACAAACAAGCATTGTGTTGTCCTTGGATTTGTGAAATGTCACACATTTAATTTCATGTTAAAGCCCATCATCAGACTTGTCAGCCCAGAGATATAACAGGTATTTTTTTGCTATTGAGATTTACACACATTTTTTTTCCAACAAAGAATATTATTTTTATTATTTCTCAAAAAATATTCACTATTTATTGCTATTCAAAACTAGTCTGTTCCATGCACCAGTTTGGTTAAATGAATAGGGATTTAATATACAACATTAAAATTCCTTAACTTGTACTGCCAAATGTATATTCTAAAAGCAGAATGATGCTAAAGGACACATATTCTCTGCACATTACTTACCGTCCACAATTACCTACCACAAAAAAGGCAGGTTCTATTGGCACCTAGCACAGGGGAACTGCTAAGAGAAATGTGTTACCCAGGTCCACCTGCTCTAGTTCTCAGAAAGTATCACCACCTGTTAACACCCAGTAATGCGGTACACCCATATAATCAGCCACACTTCCCGGGGCACACTGCTTTAGACTGGCACTGAAAGCACTGTCTGTGCTCTACTTTGTCATGACTGGCACTTCACCAGCAGCCTAAGATATTTTTCTAGGGACAATGTCAATAATAGCACCCACAACACAAACATGGCTCATTTTCTTGTCTCAGTAAGCGATCTTAATTTCTTGGTGTTTGATAATGCTGCAGTTGTCAAAGGCCAGTGCAGCCATGCACTGCAATTGGTTGGACTGTGCAGTGAACAGCACAGCTATGACCAGAGCTCTTCAGAACAATTAGCCAGTGGTTATGTGAGTAACACAAACCCATAAAAGTCTTTTCCTCCTACACTATCCCAGCTGGTTCTGACTGCAGTGGTGTAATCTGTTTTTGTGCAAAATTTCACGTGAGCAAATGTTGGTGTAACATTATTTTTAGCTTGGTACTGTCAATTTCTATTGCAATGTATTTTTACTGAGAAAAAAACCATAATATTCTCAGTATGAGCAGCAATGAAGGTACTTTGTGTGGATTACCTGGGCCTCTTACCTGAGATGATTATAGAATTTATAAAAGTCTACCCCTATGAAATGAAACTAAGTTGGATACAAGGCAGAGACGTTCACTGCACTAATTTCTTGCACTTGTTGGAAGAACTGCAAACATGAAAGAATAAAAAAGAATTTAAAAGAGGTGCAAGTCATGTTTAGCTTCAGAGTGTATAAGTTGGTCACTTACTGTTCACAATAGAGAATGTGCGCTTAACTCTCTTCTCTTTGTTTATTCAGGACTCCACGCTTCTGTAAGAAAAACAAATGCATGTGTTTATCATCCATTTAAAATTAACTGTCTAGTTTCATTTGTGCTACAGAAGTTTGCTATTTTCTGACTTAGTTTTGGCTTACTCCAATACTTAAAACCCTGGGCTTTTGTGAAAGCACCCAGCAGAGAAAGTTCACATCATGCCTTTTCCTTAAAAACCCGTTTTTCAGTCTTAGATACTACAATAGCAGCAGAGATGAGAAATCTACAGGTTCAGGGAACAAATCTCTCTTGAAACCTCAGACTGGTTGAATGCTGGGCATCCTAATTTTATCTGAGCACCTGCAGGCCTCCCCAGTTCCAGGGAGGTGACAGGCTTTCACATTCCTGAGGCTGTCAATCCTCTTGTCAAAATCAAATTCTCATGGTGTATTAGATCTTGGCTGAATTATCCCATTAAACTGAGGAGCCAAGGAAGAAAGAACATATGCCTGCAATGACAGCCACAGCCTCCCTCACCACTTTTGGAGGAGAGTGGAACATGCTGCAGAGGGGTGTTTGATGCCTCACTCCTGCTGTTTCATACAGGAAATTTGTACAGTAAGAACTGAACCCAGCACACCAGCTGCTTTAGCGTTTCTTGGCCAGGTTACAAACATCACAACAGAGGTGAGTTTTAAGGCAGGATTTGAAGGAACACAGCATACTGCCTTTGCAGATTTTACTATTAACAATTTTCATTAACAAAGGCTGCTTGAGAGAAGGGAGAAAATTGGAACTGTTGGGCAATAAGGGTTACAATTAGGGCAACATTGCTGTGAAAGACCAAGCACAAGCAAGCTGTGAAGGCATTAATTGTGAAGATGATCAATTTGGATGCAGTTAAAAAATTGAGCCAAATACATAATTACCAAGATAGACAAATGCATTTTTAATTTTACACCAACTAGAAAATGAAAATGTTATCTGAAACTGTCACACAACAGCACACCAACACTGGCCTTTAAAAAAGGCAAATCATGATTCCATCTACCATCTCACTCTAATCAGCAAACCATCTTTCATGACTCAAATCATACAGGACTCAAACTATAACTAATTATAAAATCTAATTTCCCCTTCTATTTTAGCAAGAAATTAATATTTCTTTCTGTATCATTCTGTCAATATTTATGACGTACCAGAAATCACTCATTTGCATATGAGTCTACTGAAGAAACCTGTTAAACAACAATTAAGAACTGTTTGGAGATGAGGGCTATGTAATACATTAGTCAGAAGCATCTAGAATTTTGATGTTATTAAGTTCTAAACTTTTTTGAACCATAGGGATCAGCTCTTCTATCTAACAGCCCATTTTGTTATGCCCTAGATATCAGTGAGGAGCTGAACACTTAAAATGATGCCAGGTTAACTGGACAATGATTTGAAATCTTATTCTAAAGGGTTTAGAGTAATTCAGATGCTGGTGTAAAACATAGCTAATGTCATAACTCATATCAAATATCAACTCATGTCAATAGCCTTAGCAAGCCTTACCTTGCTTGGTGCTCAGTATTAGCTGTATAAAATGTTCTGGCACAGACCATGACAGACCTAATCCGATCTACTGTACTCAAATGTATCTGAACGGGTTCAACCAAAACTTTGCCTCTTGCTGTCAAGTCAAGTCCTCCCAAATGGAGGGATTTGAAATTCAGAAACACTCAGAAAGAGGGTTCAATAAAAGGACCTCTAATCTCCACCTTTTCCTGGGGTTCAGAGCCAGGGTTTTGGTTCAGGGGCCTGTGTATATATTGCATTTGAGCAGAGGTAGCTGCAAGTGCCTTAGAGAAATTAACACCCAGAGTCACACCTGCTCTGTGGTGCACTGTCTCAATCTTTCCCTGTTTCTCTAAGCCGTCTGTGTCAAGCTGTGTCATATTATTACTGAGCCTTTCAGGAGGTTCATGCTTCCTTCTGCAGCAACGACAAAATGGAAAGGAAAGACAAATGTTTACTATACTATTAATTGTAAACAACTGAATTAAAATACAGGTTATGCATTAGAGAAGCAAATTTAAGTGAAATTATGAGTAAGTGTGGTGCTGCATTAAGCGCAGAGACAGCCTGCCTGCTCCTTTGAAGCTCACAGTCTGAGTTTCCAAAAGATATGACAAATGTAATGGACATCTGGAATAAGCAAAAACCAATCAATAAAATTCAACAGTTGTCCAGGAAACTAAATACCAGCACTCTTTGCAAAGATTTGCAGAGCTAAAATATAAGGAGATAAATACACTGGAAATATTTGCATTTCTAGAGGAGGATGCACACATTACAAAATAAATTCAGCTGTGTTTCTATCACTTACTATTAAACACAGGCAATATTTTTTTTTATTAGATGTATTGGAAGATTAATTCATTCACCCTTGGTTATGGACTCCTGTGGGTCTTCAATGCAGGAGATCCCCTGCAGTGACAACTATATTTTCAGAGCTACAAATAGCATCTGTCATAGTGCCAGTATCTTCCAGGGCTCCGTTTTCATTTCAATATTTGCAAGAGAAGACGTTTCCTAATGAAACCATTGGAAATATCAACCGAAACACCTTTTGATATGTGTGACTACATTTTGCAATATCCCTTTGCAGTGTAATTTATATTTAACAAATGTTATCTACAGAAGATACTTTAAGGCATTTAATTTCAGGGTACGTACTCATTTAAATGATCTGCAACTTTGATTCGCTTAGCATATAGATAGCAAAAGTAAGAACAACAAAGCCTTTTTTCATTAATTCTAAACTCTCTGATCCCAGTCACCTTTATGGTAAGCAATTATGGAAATAGTCCCACTAAACTTGGGCAGGACTGGAGCTCCAAAATAAAACCAGTTCCGTCAAAAACACTGTATTTAAGATTATACATGCATATATGCTCATGAAATGAAACCCTACTCCACTGCAAAGAAGAAGTCTGCAATTTTTCTCAGGAAGCCTTTGTTTAACCCATACAGAAACCAAGTGGATTTACATTTATTACAGGTGACAAAGAACATTTTTAGCATCACAGAATCATGGCAAAAATAAGCCCCTTTTATTAGATGCTTCACTTTTCATTGTGAACTGTGATACAAAAGATGAAAGGGAAGTTGCATGGTAATTAAAAGATTTCTCAAGGTATCTTAGGCCATCTGCAGTTTCTTTATTCCATTACTATTTTTATAACCAAGAACAACTATGTGATCTTTTACAAACTCCATGAAGAAACAATTTTTATCTATTTAGGATTATGGGCTAAACACTCATTAGTAGAGCATATGGGTGTTATTTCAGTATCATTCTTCCCTCTCCTCTGTCAAACACTGAGGAATAATTTTGCAAACTGAATCTCTGTACTCTGGAGTAATAAAGAGCTGCTAATATATCATCATTATGGTTCAGTGACAGTTCCAGAGCACAACTGGACAACATGTTTGTCATGAAGGAATAAATGCTCTAGAAATCAGTTTCAGGAGGGTTTTGGATTTGACAGAGCTGAAAGTTAGCCCAGGTTTGTTTACTTTATTGACTGTCTTTCAGACCTGAGGAGATCTACTTATGTGGCATATCTGGGAAGTTTGGAATAAACTATCTTGAAATTTTGAGTGGCAAAATGAAAAAATATAAACTAAACCTCAAATAAAAAGCAGCTGTTGTTTAGCCTACTGAATTTAGCAGCACATCCTCAAAACACAAGCCCAATAGTCTTAGAAGTGAAAATGGGTATTTCAAATTTTATTCTCTGCTTTAGAATTATTTATGAGAGAAAATCAGATTAATTGAAAGTGGAGGAGGTCCATTATGAATAGACTGACATCCTGTAAAACACAGAACTGATGTCTGGAAAAATGAGGCTAGCATTCGATTATGAAGTTTAAATTAGCTAATAACCAGTACAGAGTCTGGATAATTTCCAGTTGCATAATGTGCAACAAATTAAATGTATTTTGAAAAAAATGCAGTTGCGGGCATTTATTAATCGTTTCACATATTGAAACAGAAATTGTCATACATTATGGACTTTACAGTCCTTAATCATATGTATATTCCACTATTTTATGGGCTTAATTTGTTCAGCATCAACTGTTACTGTGAGTAACATTGATTTTGTCGAAACCTCAAATAAGTCACAGAACAGATCTGAGGATTACTTCAGAAGGGATTTAAAGCACACACTGTGAGTCTCTATACAACCACCACTTAAAACACTATCCGTTCAGGCCCAGATGGATTGCTATGGCAACAGAATCCCAAATACCAGATTTGTAACTAACAAAAATGTAAATTATTGATGAACTCAAGAGCTGTCTCTCTTGGACACCCTCCTACTCAAATACCAAGCCGTATGGCTAGAATACAGAGAAATGGTTGATATGCAATTTCCCCAGCCCACTGAGCACTAATCCCAAAGGATTTCATTAAATCTTTTGGCTTAAATTTTTATTCTTGGAACAGCAGTCAGCAAGCAGGGATTACATTAAAACAGGCACTATTGAGGTCATTACTGACTGAATTCAGGCTGTAATATAACAAAACAGGAACTAATTTTAAATATACTTCCACACACACGCCCCCTCCCCCCAAAAATAGCACTGCTCTAAGTTACTATATATTTGGTGACAGCACTTTTTCCATTCACATCACCACCCTTCCTCCTTGCCTACAGGCAATGACGGAGAACAGTACTAAAGAGTGAAAAACAGAAAGACATATTATTTGATAAAGAGGTGCACATGTCATGGTAGAGGCGACTGTGCATAAACAACTGAGTTGCAGAACAATGAATGTAAGGAGGCTCTGCAGCCTTTGATATTCTGTAAATCAAAACCAAGAATAAAAACTTCTCTAGCAAATGAGCAAATCAGAAGAGAGGAAGTACTTATTGGCGTTTTTATTGCAAATTTCATGAACAGTCTGATAAGGGACCAAATACTGGTAGGAAAGCCAAACACCATTGGAAAGCCTCTCAGACTTTATACAGAATGTGATTAATACAGTGAGTGTCAGACAAAA